TTCACTTAATGGCAACTGGTGTACATCCTTTAGGAGACATTTTTTTTTTTTAATCAAGTAAGTTTTTACTGATAGTAATAACTTGATATAACCCTCTAGTTCTTGATAAATACCATTTCTTGAATGAGGCCTGTGTATTCTAATATTATTTTCTTTTGTCTGAATGAAAATTTTCCATTTTGTTTTGGAGATGATTGCCCAAATTTCTCATTCTTGTTTGTAAGTCGGGGGGTGGGGGGTGCATTATTTTACTACATGAGAACAAACTATACTGAAAGAAAGATCTGCAAAACCATGTAGATAAGCGAAGCTGAAATGAGCTACTGCATAGAAGTTTAGCATTTTATCCTACCAATATTGTGCTTTACCACAGATTGGTCCCTGTCGCGTATATAAACTTTGGTTGCTGCCTGAGTTCCTGGGTACTTCTGTTCCCTACTTTTAATATATATAAGCATAGTTTCATTGAACTTGAAAGACTTTTGTTGTAGGTAATATTTATGGCCTCTTTCTATAGTTGTTTTGCTGCCCTGTAGAGAGGGATAGGTTTAGTGGGGAAACTGCCTTAAATCCACATTCTTGTCCAGGGCTGAGCTGATTCATTCCTCGTCTCCAGGCAAGTAGCTTTTTCTGTGCTGCAGCTACTGACTCGATGCTTAACAGTCTAGATTCATTGGAAGATTTTTTTTTTTTTAATACATCTTTTTTACCCTTCTAGTTTTCAGAGAATAGCAATGACCCCGCAGATTGTCTCATTAGTGGAAGAAACATTATTTTCCCATTGTCATTACTACTCCAATATAAAGTTTGCATAGCTGGCCTTTTTTTCTTTTCTTTTTTTGTCATTCTATAAATATGTCTGCAGCCATTAGGTTATGTATTAGTTTCCTGTGGCCGCTTTAACAAATTACCTCAAACAAGACAGCTTAATACAACAGAAATGTATTCCATCACAATTCAGGAGGCCAGATGTCCAAAATCAAGGTGTTGCAGGGTTGTTTCCTTCTGGAGCCTCTAGGGAGAAACCCTCCCATACTCTCCTCCTAGCTTCTGGCGTTTGCCAGCAATTCTTGGCATTTCTTGACTTGCAAATGGATCACTTCAGTCTCTGCCTACATCTGCACATTGCGTTTTCTCTGCGTCTCTGTATGTGTCCTTTTCTGTCTCATTGGATTTAGGGCCCACTCTTCTCCAGTATGATCTCATCTCAATCATTTAATTGTATTTGCAAAGACCCTTTTTCTAAGAAGGTCACATTCTGAGGGTATAGGTGGACATGAATTTTAGGGGACATTATTCAAGCCACTGAAGGTTGAATGATATAAGGCTACAGGGAGATTCTCTGTAAGCTAACTAACACTGTCTCTTCACACATATTACAAGGCACTAGGTTTATACAAGCAATAATTAGTGAACAAAAACAAAAAAGTTTTATTGTTTATTGTAAGTTCTGAAAACAGTTTCTGCATAAAGGTGTAAAATTAATTTTTTGTTCATTGGAATATTCTGCCATTTAGGTTTATATGGGGAAAAAAGTTCTTATTGGAGAGGATTGGGATGCTGTATAATATGATGGTAGAGATGGATGATTTTGTTAGCTTCATGACCTTGAGTAATTTCCTTAGCCTTTCTGAGACTGTTTTTTTATATTTGAGTTGCAGTGAGCATTAAATTAAATCAGATAAGTAAAATGTTAGGACACTGTGCCTGTTAAACAGTGATTGGTCAGAAAAAACAAAACAAAACAAAACTGCTATTTAGACATTGTATTAGATTAGATCTTAATTCTTTGAAATTCAGTTAAAGAAGACAGCATAAATTAAGAGAAATCACAGATAATTTATATGTGCCTTATCTTTTCAGTTGTACATATATAAACCTTTTGAAAGAAAATGTGTTCATTTAATACATTATTTTAATAACACATTATGCCACTGCTGTAGGGTTCATAAGTTTCTGATTGCTGAGAATTGAAACAAAGTTTTAAAAGCATGAGATTGAGTGGCCTGGTGAACTGATTCAAATATTAATCTGTAAGCGCTTTTAAAATGCAGAACTATTCAGGAACACATTTCCTTCTCTCTTTGTAATTTTTTTGCAAAAAGCCAATGATGATGAAATTTTGAACTAAAAGATACATTTTTATTTACAGGTGAACAACCCAAAGCCTAAGGTGATTAAACAATTTGCTCAAAGTCGCACAGAATTAAATCTGTTTCCTAGTTCGTAAGATACTTAGGTACTCTTTTCTATGATGAAAGTTAAGAATTTACGCTTTAAACATTCACTGAGTTTTTGCTGAGTTTCTGGGATAATATAATATACTGGGAACTTTCTTAAGGAAAAAAGATTAAGAGTTTCAGTAATGTTTTTCTTCCTTTCCCCCACATAATTATAAAAATTTGGAGGGTTGATTCCTCAGTTTACTTATCCTGCTTTCTAAACCACATTTAAAAAAAATCCACGTTATATTTCAAAAGCAATATTCAATTTGGTACCATGCCATTTGCTACTTAAAATTGTTCTTGACATTTAGGTGAATAGTTTTAAATAATGAAAATGTATCTTTTAATATGCTTTTCTGTACTGGGTGTAGAAAACCCAACTGAAAATGATAGGTATGATAATAACAAAAGTTTATCCTCTTGCAAGTGGAAGTCAAGAAGTCTCAGAGTTGACTTCATCAAGGAGTTCTGACTCCATTTACCTTGAATTCTTTTGACTTTACCCTCCTTTAGTGAGTAGCAATATAGCTGAAATACTTCTGAGCCACATATCCAAGCATAATGACAATTAGATGAAGAGTCGGGAAGAACTTTCCCAGCAGCCGCTAGAAATCCCCTCATTAGACTGAATGACCTTTTCTCAACCATTTCCTGGAAGGGGCAATGGGATCACCCCCCTGACCAAACTGACCTATATGGCAGGAGACAGTCGACCTGTAACACTGGAGTTAGTGGGAGAAAGATAGACACCTCAACAAACTGGGATTCTATTAAGGAGAGGAGCCCTGGTGGTGCAGTAGTTAAGAGCTCAGGCTGCTAACTAAAGAGTCAGCAGTTCGAATCCACCAGCTGTTCCCTGGAAACCCTATGGGCAGTTATACTCTGTCCTATAGGATCGCTATGAGTCTGAATCGACTTGGCGGCAACGGGTTTGGTTTCTTTGGTATTAAGAAAGAGAAGCAGACGAAAGGTGGCGAGCAGACAGGAAACAATGTCCCTTGGAAAAACTGTAGATTTTGCATTCCTAATATTAGAAAAGACAAGTGTTAATTGCAAATTTGATGGTTCATTATAAAGTAGAAAAAAAGTTAAAATATTGAAATATATAGGATACATATGCAGCACAGAGCCATGGGCATTATATTAGTTGACGGTCATGTACATTATTACCTTCTGGTTCTGCTTGGGGTCTCTATATGGAGGGTGAATTTTTGAACAATCTACCTCCTTTGCCATGAGACCAGAAGAACTGGATGGTGGCCGGCATTTTGATCAAAGATTCTATAGAAGAATCCTGATCAAAAGGGAAAAAATGCAGAATAGAATTTCAGATTCTCTTGGAACCCCGACTTTTTGAAGCCTGTTGTAGAGGAAAAACACCATAAAGTTTAGTAAAGCAAAAATAAAGTTTTATTCGGCATATATTCAAAAAGGCAGAAGTGGGAAACAGACAACCAAGCTGCCAGAGCCATGTCTACCCCAGTCCAGGGAAATATCACAGAACAGATAAAAATGGGAAAACGGACAAGCAAGCTGCTAGAGCTATGTCTGCCCGAGTCCAAAGACCATTACAGAGTCATCAGTATATATTAACATTACAAATGGATAAAACCATTGAAAGCTTAGCCTTTTCAGATTGGCCAGAAACTGTGATCCTACATTTTAATTGTCTTTCTTAACAATCATTGGTAACAGGTTTCAATAACAAGAGTCAGGAGGGTCTGGATGAACCCCTGAAACTTTTGCCCTGAGATAATCTTTAAACCTTAAACCAAAAATATCCTTTGAAGTTTTTAAACCAAACAATAGTTTAGCTTAATTAGTAAGGGATGTCTGCCTTGAGCATTGTGCTGTTTTAAGAGCTATCTATATGGAATCAAATTGACAACATCAACTCAAAAGAATAGGTAGGAAATTTAGGGGCCAGTGAGTTTATGCTAACTGGGGAGGAACAGTTTGGAAAAGAAGAGTGAAAATGGTTACAGCTTGAAGAATTTAATCGATGTCACTGAATTGCACAGGTCGAAATTGTTGAATTGGTGTGTGCTCTGCTGTATAATTCTCAACAACAACAAAATTTTAACACTTAATAATACTCTTGGAAACCCTGGTGGCGTAGTGATTAAGAGTCTGGCTGCTAACCAAAAGATCGACAGTTTGAATCCACCAGGCGCTCCTTGGAAACCCTATGGGGCCGTTCTGTTCTGTCCTGTAGGGTCGCTATGAGTCGAAATCTACTCGACAGCAGCGGGTGTTTGGGTTATTTAATCCTCCGTCAGGACAGCTGTTCATTATTTCCAGTTTATTCACCCTGCAGTATATTTTTAATAAATCCAAAACCCAATTAATAAAACCTTTTATAAATATTGTACCACATTTCAGTATCAGAATTGTAAGAACAGCATTAAAAAAAAAAAAAAAAAATTTAAAAATAGACCAAGTGGTAATTTTAGTAAGGTTGAAAAAAGTATGTGCCATTGGGAAGGCATTTATGTGCCTCCACAGATGAAATTCATGTCTTCTCTGTCACAATTTTGCCTTCAAATTCATTGTTCATAGACTGTTTCCTGTTTACAGGCTCCATAAGGTGATAATTGTCATAGATGGTTTGGAGAAAGAGCATGCATAGACGAAATTGCTAGATGATCCTAAACCTCCACTTTGATGAATATTGAATTCTTAAGAAATTGCTAGTAGCAAAATTGGGTGAAATGTTTTTTTTTTTTTTTCATTCTGGGATCAGTTCTTACCTTGTATTTGATTTGTTCTAGCTGAGTCTCAGTGTTCATGATGCAGGTGGTATGAGGCTCTCACATTGTTAAAAATAATGTATAACATTGATGCTATTTTTAAATATCACTACAGTACTTGTTCTTTGTTGATTTATTAAATCAAGATTTGAATTTTGAAGGCCACCTTTTCTTTTTTACGCACCTTGGCTTAGTTTCTGTCTCTTACTATAGCTTTGTCTGTTACCTGTTCTTGCTGATGGCTACCACATGTGTGCTAGATTTTCTGTGGACCTGGATGGGTGCATGCATTTGCAATGCAGTTAATTTAAAGTTTTTCAGTAACTCCTAGACCTGGTAAAGATCATGACCCGGCAGGTGCAATGGATACACCTGTGAAGAAAAGAAGACTCGATACCAGCCCTCAGAAAGAGGATAGTCTAGTGGAGAGTCAGCTAAAGTATGTCTATGTCTGTATGTATATGAAGTCTATTAGGTCTATGAAAGGGAGGTACATGATGCTATAAAGCCTATAAAAGATTTCTCCCATGAAATGCTGCTTGAGCCAAGATCTGAAAGAAAATCACAAATTATATTCCCACAGTACCATGAAGAGTAGGCTTGAAATAAACTTGAGCCATTGCTCTTTCTCTTATTTGATTCAATAAAGAGTTTATGCAGAGTAGGATTTATTGCGTTGGGAAGACAGAAGAGCTTCAAAAGAGTAATTTTTAGTTAGTTTGGAAAGAGTCAAGTGTCTCTAGTTCTGCCAAAGATTAAACATTTCAAAACAACATTTAATGTGAAAACAATCTACTTATAAAAGATATGAGGGTATCACATATTTAAATAAATGTTAACATTTATCACATTGTGTATTGTTATTATAATTAGATTCAAATTATTCATTCAATTTAAAAAATATTTATGCAGCACCTTCTATATAAAACCCATGAAACCAGAACCAAACCAAACCAAACCCGTTGCCGTAGAGTCGATTCTGACTCATAGTGAAACCTATAGGACGGAGTCGAAACAGCCCCACAGGGTTTCCAAGGAGCGCCTGGTGGATTCGAACTGCTGACCTTTTGGTTATTAGACACAGCTCTTAACCACTACTCCACTAGACTGGAGCCCTGATGGTGCAGTGGTTAAGAGCTACAGCCGCTAACCAAAAGGTCAGCAGTTCGAGTCCACCAGCTGCTCCTTGGAAACCCTATGGGGCAGTTCGACTCTGTCCTATAAAGTTGCTATGAGTTGGAATCGACTGGACAGAAATGGGTACCTTCTATATACCAGGAATTTTTCTGGGTGCTGGGGAAGTAGCAGGAAAGAAAACCTTAACGACATGGGGGCTCTTATACTAGCACTCCAGAAACAGCCTGTTTTTGAGAATGGCTAGGATAGGCAGTACTTCTCATTTCTCACTCTGTCATAGGGAGTTCCCATCACCTTCCTTGTTGCTGTGGAATCACTCTGGGATTCTTGATTTTGAAGTATTTTCACCGGAGTGGTAACGTTGTTGCTCTATAACTAGCATTTGTATTCAGTCTGATCAAAAACACCTCTCTACTGTTGAATCAGATCCTCAGAATCCTAATTATTCTGTTCAGCTATATGTCATTCAGCTGACTTTAGGCTTATCTTCCAGATTAAAAAACAAACAAACAAACGAAAAACCGCAACTCATTTAGGGCATATACTAAATGTTGAACCCAACAGCTCCATATTCCTTTTTTTTTTTTTTCTTCAGTTGTACAACTGCTAGAACACTGGTGTAGCAATATCAAAGAATACTCATCTGGGAGGTCGGGAAAGATGAGTGATGTAAAATGCACTGTTTCGGTGGACAGACTCTAGATTTAGGGGTTAGGAAACAAGTATGACTCCTGGATCTGACTCCCACCGGTTATGAGTCCGTGAGTAAGTAGCTTAACTCCATCAATCTGTTATCTCCTTTTCTAAAATAGTGGTTATATCTGTTCTACTTAGCTCACAATGATTGTAAGGATCACATGAGAAGTGATGGTAGTGTAAGTACAAAGCTTCAACTGGTCAGATCTGAGACTGCAACTATGTTCTAACGACTCTTGGTACAATACAGTGTTGGATCGGGGCAAACAAGTTAAAATAAGGGAAACTGAAGTTTACTTTCTTCTTCCTCAACTCCTGTTTTATTTGGGTATTTCTGGTATTGTACTAGGTGGGCAAGAGTGAGATTTTTGGGTGGGGAGGAAGTTTTGTTGTATTCCTCGAATTAAATTATGTAAATAGAGGTGGGATAAATCCTTGTTCCTCAAAGTGAAGTCTGTGAACCAACAGCTTCAGCATCACCTAGGAGCTTTTAGAAATGTAGAATTTCAGGCCCCACTCCAGACTACTAAAATCTGCATTTAAACAAAATCCCAGTGTGATTCATATGCAAAGTTTGCTCATTACTAGAGTTGACAGATATCTAAAACTGCCCCAGTCATTTCAAAGGACTCTTTCCTGGTGCGATAACACTCACCATGGCTGCTGCTAGGTGTTCTAGCACCACCTGTGGACAACAGTGGTGGTTTTGGGGGGGCAGGGCGGGGAGGGGCGTTTATAGTGATAAAAACAGGCTGCTCTCTGTTCCCAAGGAACCATTTCAGGGGTGAAAGGTTCATATTCCACTATCAGTCCCCTGAGCCCACCAGTGAACAAAAATGTTTTTTTCCCAAGACTTTTATGGTGCTTAAGTCAGACTTTTTCATATTGCAATAACAGACCAAAAATGACTGACAGTTATAGTGCCTGGGATTAGGGGGGAGGGGCAGAGAGTCAGAAGAACTGGGAATTTATCAGGAGATATGTCTGATTTCATCTCTAGGATTCTGGTTTCTAGTCACCTTTGCTCTCTGAGATAGTGAATAATGCTGCTTTACTCTGCTTGTTCTAAATTCCATGAGACATACAATCTCAGGACTTCAGGGTATTTTATAAAAATACCTTGTTGTTTTCACTTGTAGAGGGCAAGAATGGATTTAACTGAGACCAACCAAACCCATTGCTGTCAAGTCGATCCTAACTCATAGCGACCCTATAGGACAGAGGAGAACTGCCGCATAGGATTTCCAAGGAGCAGCTGGTGGATTTGAACTGCCAAGCTTTTGGTTAGCAGCTGAGCTGTTAACAACTGTGGCCAGCAGGGCTCCAACTGATACCAAGTGAGACTTAAATTCTTAAGAAAGACCACATGCATATTTGAGAGTAGGAATTAGTACTGCATCTAAGAACCAAACTTTTTCTATGCAATAGCAAATTAGTCCTAATTTCTAGCTTTAGCAAAGTTTAGTATTAGATAGAACTGAACTAGCTTCCCTTTAGAACATTGTCGAACAGGTGAAGTAATTTATAGTCTTTCGTCCGTTGCCATTACAACTATTGTAACTCCTTTCTCTTTCCCTCTTGCCTGGGGTCCTGGGTAAAATTTAAGATCATTTTCTCTTGTGCCCACTATTGGGATAGGGGAATGCCTGCACTCCATGCTGTGTGATTCCTTTGAGTATTAACTTCACATCTGGACTATGCTATTAATGTTCTACTTCAAGACTAGAATTAGTAGATGGCTTAGGACAAAGTTTTACTCCTTAATTATTCTGATTTTGCTGCAGATTAGTGATAACTTTGTCACGGCCAGCATTTGGAAGCCAGTGTTGTACTTGACTCAGCCTTCATTCATTTATTTATTCAACAAATATTAAATGTGCCCCTACTATGTGCTAGTGATAGTATAGATGCCTGGGAAAATGTGGAAGCTAGAGACTTGTGCTCATTCAGCTTACATTTTATGATGATAGACTTCCTTTTGAGGTCATTTAGGAAATGACCTAAATTGAGAGTTAGCACCCTGCTACTCATATTATTTTTTGTTTTTTTTTTTTTTCAGTTTTAGCTAAACCTCTATTTAGGGAAAAAAAAAAAAAAAAAAAGTTTTTCCCAGATAAGGCTACCCATCAAGGCAGGTAATCATTTCATTACGATTGTCTTCCAAAGCAGGATCATCCAAGGCTTTTGAAAACTTGAAGACTATTTTGGGATGTCCTATATCTGACTCCTTCTAGAAAAAAAGCCTCCCTGTTCTTAGATGTAGAGCATATTGCTAGAAAGAATTAGTTTCATTTTCCCCAGAGTTCATCAAGTTACCCCAATTTCTTTTTTAAGGAAGCCCCTAACTACCCACTGGAACTCGGCCTCCTAAAATTTCAATGTATGTTCGACACAACCAGTTTTTGAGTATTTACTATAAGGCTTTAACCACACAGTCATTTCTCCGCTGTGTATAATGTTAAGGCGGAGTTCTCATGACTGTCATGATGTGTCTTAAGCCAAATACATTTCTCGGCATTCCAAAGTTATGTGAATTCACAGAAATAATTATTCTCAGATGTTGACATTGCACTTAGCACTTCAGTAATATGAGGAAATATTGTTCAAAAGTCATTCATCTAAAAAGCAAAGCGAACTATAGTACAGATAAATATGGTGTGCATTTAGACATATTCCATAATGTAGAAATATGTTGGAATAATTAGCTTTCTGTCCTAATATCTTCATAACATAGTATATGACTGTTCCATGTACAGAGTTAGCATATTTCCTGTAACATGACTGAAGTCTGTAGATGATGTGCTTGTTTCTAGTCAAGTAACCTCTTTTAATTGGTGAGCCAGACCCCTGGTTCTTGGATTCTCTTGTCACTTAATGTGTTCTGTTTTTAAGTTGGCTTCAAAAATGAGAAAAATTAAATCTTAAAATGTTTCAAAATATAATTTTTCTATATACTGTGTTAAAAAAAACAACCTGTTGCCGTTGAGTAGATTCTGACTCATAGTGACCCTATAGGACGGAGTAAAACTACCCCCATAGGGTTCCCAAGGAGCTCAGCTGATAGATTTGAACTGCTGACCTTTTTTGGTTAGCAATCAAGGGCTTAACCACTCCACCACTAGGGCTCCTTATAATGTGTTTTCTAATGGTAATGGGTAACTCTCCATAAATGACAACAGAGCTTTAAAAACCTCATCCATCTCAAGTAGGTTTGGAAGGAGTAGGTTGAGTACAATAAGGAGATTTGATTGTTGGAGAGGCCAAGACTAAGTTAGAAAAATAATATAAACTTATTTTTATTCTAATATTCACATATAACATTGATTATGAGGTTTTTAAAAAATTTATATCACCTTATCTTCTACTCAACATAGAAAAAAAGAAACGTGAATAAAATTTTATAATGGTCCATAGTATTGATTCTTTATACTTAATGAAAGGGAACATCATTATCATCATCTCTTAATAATCTTTAAATTACTATGGTAGCATTTGAAAAGAACCAAATAACTCTATTTGATGCATGATTTTTTGCACTCGAAACTATTCAGATCACTGAATATTGCTGACTGCTTATGTCACAGGGCAAAATGTTTTGATTTGACAGTATAGTAAATGCTGTGGGTAAAGGGCATTTGCTAAGTTTTTACTTTAAATGTGCATTTCTGTCTTTATCTTGTCGTTTCATGTTGCATAATTCAAAATGTTTGCAAAGCACAGGAAGTTTATTATATTTTTTAACTATCTGTTTTGAATTATAACTTTAAAAAGAAAATGAGACATACCCCCTCCCCTCACCCTAGAGACAGACTTTTCATGACAAAAGAGTTTTAAACATCAGGATGTTGCATAAATTAGTCCGGAAAAAAATAGGAACAGACAGCCAGAGCTACCTAATAGAACTTTACTTTTGCAACAACTTTTGTTTTGTTTTGTTAAGTGAATTATACATAAATTTGTAATTTCTCTATTTGGATATATTTTCAAAATCAATCATTACATTTTTTACTTGCATTGTTTCTGATTGGTTTTTATTTGTGCATTCTATAAAAATAAGGATTTAAAAAATTATAGCATGACATAAGAGTCAAAGAAATTTAACTAAGCTGGACTCTCATAAGTGTGAGAGAAAGCCTATGCAATGGATATTTATGGAAAGAGTTAATATTTCTGATGAGATATGAAAAGTTAAAGTGACTTGTTTTGTCTATTCTGCCCTGCTTTTATGTTTTACAAAGGATAGTTAGTTTTTATTTAAAAAATAAATTTCCAAATTATAACTACGTAATTTCAATAGTGTACAGAACAGGGTAGGCGGAGGACAGAGCCTTTGTTGTTGTTTTCAAAAATTACATCTTTGCATGTTGTGTGCCCAATAACATAGACTTACAATTATTTTTATGCATTTGTCTTTTGAATCAAGTGGGACATATAAAATGGAGTTACTGTCATGGATTGAATTGTTCCCCCCCAAAATACCTGTCAACTTGGCTAGGCCATGATTCCCAGTCGTGTGTGATTGTCCATCATTTTGTCATCCAGGGTGGTTTTCCTATGTGTTGTAAATCCTATCATTATGATGTTAATGAGATAGATTAGCAGCAGTCATATTGATGAGATCTACAAGATTAGATTGTATTTTAAGCCAATTTATTTTAAGATATAAAAGAGAGAAGCCAGCAGAGAGACATGGGGACCTTATACCACCAAGAAAGCGGCGCCTGGAGCACAGCGCATCCTTTGGACCTAGGGTTCCTGCTCAGAGAAGCTCCTAGTCCAGGGAAAGATTGATGACAAGGACCTTCCTCCAGAGTCAACACAGAAAGCCTTCTCCTGGTGCTGATGTCCTGAATTTGAAATTCTAGCCTACTAGACTGAGAGAATAAACTTCTGTTTGTTAAAGTCATCCACTTGTGGTATTTCTGTTACAGCAGCACTAGATGACTAAGACAGTTACAAACTAAAAGTACAACAATACTCGATTTCTTATTTGCCCGTGTAATTACCTTACCAAAAATCTTTATTTCTTCGTATGGGCTTCAAGTTACTGTTTAGTGTCCTTTCATTTTAACCTGAAGGACTCTTTTTAGCTTTTCTTGTAGGGTAGGTCTAGTCGTAACTCCCTCAGTTTTTGTTTATCTCAGAATATCTTAACTTCACCCTCATTTTTGAAGAATAGTTTTGTGGGATATAAAGTTCTTGGTTGGCAGGATTTTTGTTTGTTTGTTTGTTTTTAATTTCAGCACCTTTAGAAGTATCATCCCACTGTCCTCCCGCCTCCATGGTTTCTAGAAGGAATCGACATTTAATCGTATTGAGGATCCCTTGTGTGTGATGAGTTGCTTCTGTCACTGCTTTCATGGTTCTCTCTGTCTTTGGCTTTTGACAGTTTGATTATAAAGGATCTTGGTGTGGATCTCTTTGAGTACACCCTAGTCACCTTTGAATTCTTTGTGTTTTGTTTTAGCTCTTTGAGCATGTTTAAGACAGTTATTTTAAAAGGATTGAATCTTTTAAGTTTTACCCTCCAAAAAACCTTAAAATCCAAAGTAGCTTAAAATGAAAAAGAAATCGGTGGGATGACTTCAATATCTTGTGGGTTCCTTGGGGTTGGCTCTAGTGAAAATTTCACGGGGGGAAGATTAAAGGTCAAAGCCTATTTCAAAAAAGTTGCAATCAGGATGGTAAGCAAGACTATTTTATAAGTCTCTTTTGATTTTATTTGGTCACTTAAAAAAAAGAAGCCTGAGCTGGTTCATATGTTTTTCAGGTTGTAATGATTACACTTCTGGGCTAGTTGCTTTTCAGGTGCAAATCTATTTCTCAATAAGTCCCATCACTTACATAACACTTCTTGAATGCTTGTCTACTGCAGCATAAACAAGGGGTATCAAAGAACATTAGATTTACTTGGTGGTATAGATTGGGAAAAAAGAAAACAGTCAGTTGTTTATATGGATTCTTATCTACCTTGTGACATTTTTATAGCTATGGGAGTGAAGAATGATATTTGACCAACTGTGGAAGATTAGCTTTCTTTTTCTGTCCTGAAATAGAGGAGCTAGGGGTTTTTAATCAGAAAGTGTACATTTTCCTTTAGGATTGCTCATGAACATGTCGTGCCATGTCAGAATGATTTACCCTATCTAAACGTTTGAATATTTATAGGTAACAGAAAGGAGAAAACTACCAGCTGTGTGAGATTAGTTGTTGTTTCTGACACTTGATGAATATACAATATTATAAGAGAAAGTATTATACTAATAAATTACAGTCTATTATACGTTAAATCAGATCTGATTTCTTGAATTATTTAATATTAGGGATCAGTAAGTCCAAGAAGACAGTATACTAAGTACTGTAGTGGGGATATACACGGATAAATAAGAAGTGATACTGATTCTGTGGTTTCATTTGGAACTACTTGTCATTTTCTGAAATCATCTTGACCTCTCATTTCTTTCTGCATTTTCGTAGATAAGTGCCTACTTCTGGAGTATCCTTCTTCACCTCTGGTCTCCCTCAAACCCCTTCCACTATTCTCATTTACTGTTAAATATTGAAGCACTTGTTGACCCTTTTATTTCATACAAAATTTAAAAATTCATTACCAGACATGCAATTCTACATCAAAATGGAATTTGTCATCTACATGACATATTCTATATTAAAATGGCATTTTAAATTATTTAATGAAAGTTTGTTTTTTCTTCCCAAACATCCAGTCTATGATATGTAATCACAACTAAATTTGTGTATTAGTCAGCTTAGGCTAAGTTTGGTTGCAGTAACCACAAAAACCTTAATGGCTTATAACAAAAAAGAACTCTCTTGTTTATACTTTATGTCTGGGTAGGTTGGTAGGAAGACTGTGCTCATCACAGTTACTCTGAGACCCAGGCTGAAGGAAGTCCCTTTAACACATGCTTCTACAGTCACCTAAGCAGGCAGGAGGAAGAGAGCATAGTAAATTACTTACTGGCTCTTTTGCACTTCAGCCTGATAGTGACATACACATTTCAGTAAACTCACTAAACATCAAGGGGGCTGGGAAGTGCAAGAAAGTGGGGCACGACTAGAAATATTTAGCGAATAGCACTGCAGTGTGTACAAGATCAGAAATTGATGGCTAGCTCTTTACTGAATCTCTTGGAATTTATGATCATTCCTGTTGTTGTTAGGTGCCGTTGAGTCGTTTCCGACTGACAACAACCTTATGTACAGCAGAAGGAAACACTGTCCGATCCTGCACCATCCTCACGATGGTTGTTATGCTTGAGCCCATTGTTGCAGCCACTGTGTCAGTCCATCTTATGGAGGATCTTCCTCTCTTTCCTTGACCCTCTACCGAGCATGATGTCCTTCTTCAGGGACTGGTCCCTCCTGATAACATGTCCAGAGTGTATGAGGCAAAGTCTTTCCATCCTTGCCTCTAAGGAGCATTGTGGTTGCACATCTTCCAAGACAGATTTGTTTGTTCTTTTGGCAGTTCATGGTATATTCAATATTCTTCGCCAACACCATAATTTAAAGGTGTCAATTCTTCTTTGGTCTTCCTTATTCATTGTCCAGCTTTCACATGCATATGAGGCAATTGAAAACACCATGGCTTGGGTCAGGTGCACCTTAGTCCTCAAAGTGGCATCTTTGCTTTTTAACACTTTAAAGATGACTTTTGCAGCAGATTTGCCCAAAGCCCTACATCATTTGATTTCTTGACTGCTGCTTCCATGGGCATTGATTACAGATCCAAGCAAAATGAAATTCTTGACAACTTTGATCTTTTCTCTCTTTATCACGATACAGCTTATTGGTCCAGTTGTGAAGATTTTTGTTTTCTTAATGTTGAGGTGTAATTCATACCGAAGGCTGTAGTTCTTGATCTTCATCAATAAGTGCTTCAAGTCCTCTTCACTTTCAGCAAGCAAGGTTGTATCACTTGCATAACGCAGGTTGTTAAAGAGTCTTCCACCAATCCTGATGCCCCGTTCTTCTTCATATAGTCCAATTTCACAGTTTGTAAAAATGTAGTCAAATATAGTAGTTCAGAAATTAAAACAAACTAAAAAAGCCTTAAGATGTGCGATTATGCGACTTTTGAATTTCATTTTAAAACATTAAATATTAAAATGCATATTTCAACTTAACTCAATAAATGTAAGCATTTAGTGACGGGGCACAAATATGTGTTAAAACTCTCTTGTCCATTGATAATGTTGAAGAAAAAAGAAGTGTCACAGAAAATGGGTTATCTTTGCAATGTATCATTGACATTGTTCAGAATTCATTAGTCAATGGTAATGAGCAGAGTTTGGATGAATCAAAGTTCCACATTGAAGTGCTCATTTATAGGACTACACAATTTCATAAAAACATAATGTTTTTCTTAATTCATTCACCTTTAATTTGAGTATGTCAGCAATAATTGCAGTTTTTTCTTTACTTTTGCAAGAAGTTATATTGAAGTTGATTTGAGGAAGGACATTTGGTGTCAATGTAGTAATGAAGAAAATATCTTACTCTATTCCTTGTACGGACATTATTAAACTGTATCACTGTAGTCCTCACCCCTAGCTTGGATATAGGCGCTTGACTACCTGGTATTTAAGAGGATGTAAGTAAGGAGCCTGGTGGCACAGTGGTTAAGCACTCAGCTGCTAACCAAAAGGTCAGTGGTTCAGTTGTATAAGCCCACTATTATAAGAACTCAAGAAAAGGTTTAAACACAGAAGAAAACATTCTTTGATGGTTACAAGGGTGGGGAGGGAGGGTGAGGGTTATTCACTAACTAGATAGTAGACAAGAATTACCTTAGGTGAAGGGGAGGACAGCACACGCTACAGGGGAAGTCAGCACAACTGGACTAAACCAAAGCTAAGAAGTTTCCTGAATAAAATCAAACACTTTGAGGGACAGAGTAGCAGGAGTAGGGGTCTAGGGACCATGGTTTCAGGGGACATCTAGGTCAATTGGCATAACAAAGCTTATTAAGAAAATGTTCTGTATCCTACTTTGGTGATTGGTGTCTGGGGTCTTAACAGCTTGCAATCGGCCATCTAAAATGCATCAATTGGTCCCAACCACCTGGAGTAAAGGAGAATGAAGAACACCAAAGACACAAGGAAAGTATTAGCCCAAGAGAAAGAAAGGGCCACATAAACCAGAGACTTCATCAGTCTGAGACCAGACGAACTAGATGGTGCCTGGCTACAACCAATGAGTGCCCTGACAGGGAATGAAACAGAGAGTCCCTGATGGAGCAGGAGAAAGGTGGGGTACAGAACTCAAATTCTAGTAAGAAGACCAGACTTAATGGTCTGACTGAGACTGGAAGAACCTCAGAAGGCTTGGCCCCCGGAATCTTTATCAGCCCAGAACTAAAACTATTTCCCAGGCCAACTCTTCAGACAGGTATTGGACTGGACTGTGGGACAAATAGTGATACTCGTGAGGAGCGTGCCCCTTAGCTCAAGTAGATACATGAGACTAAATGGGCAGCTTCTCTCTGGAGGGGAGATGAGAAGGCAGAGAGGGTTAGGAGCTGGTTGAATGGACACGGGGAATCAGGGGTGGAAAGGAGGAGTGTGCTGTCACAGTATGGGGAGAGCAATTGGGGTCACATAGCAATGTGTGTATAAATTTTTGCATGAGAGACTAACTTGAAATGTAAACTTCATTTAAACTACTACAACAACAAAAAAGGCAAAAGGTCATTGGTTCAAACCCACCAGCTGCTCCATGGAAGAAAGATGTGGCAGTGTGCTTCCATAAAGATTACAGCCTTGGAAACCCTATGGGGCAGTTCTTCTCTGTCCTATAGAGTCTCTATGAGTTGGAGTCAACTCAACAGCAATGGGTTTGGTTTTGGATGAGATAAATTAAGGACATAGATAAGCCAGAATTATTAGTGAACATGAATTATTTAGAAAAACCTCATTATTTTCTCAAATGAATCATGGCTGTCAACATGATCAAGTATATAGATATAAAATGAGGAGATCTAACAGAAGTGTCTGTTTGATCCAAGCATTTTCACAAGTACATGGTTTTTGCCTGTGTTTTGTTTCTATTGTGCAATAAGAATATCTCCTTCCATTTTACATGTTAGCTAAATATGTCTAAGAAGGTCTCTCAGCTTTCTTTTGCCTCTTAGTAATTTATTGACAATTATAAAGAGCTGCATTAGCATAAGTTAAAAATTGAACATAGAAATCACAAAAATGTTATTCTATGAAGATGAGATTTCTTTTTAAAAGAGAAAAAAGTATTAATTGTTGGTCTGCCTTTTAGTTTAGCAGATTTTCGTATGGAAAATTATTTTCTTGCCCCTTAGAAAATTTGCCAAGTTGCTCAAGCCTCAGCCACCCCTCCTTGAATGCTTATACTTCTACAACCTTCCCAAAGAACAACTGACTTTGTATGTGCTGGGTTTATCTCCATTAAAAGGCAGGTTCATTTAGTTAGCTTCTCTGTGGCAATATGAGGGAAGAAAAGAACAGGAAGAGGGATAACCTTACAGTACTGGTTTATGTAGTAGAAGGTTAAAGGACAAGAGAGCTTTAAAATTGTTGAGCCCAAGAAAATGAAGTTCCTATTCTTGTATGTAGTAGAGGTTTCAAAGATGATATAGCAACATATTTCATTTCCCTTCTATTGTATGATTAATCAACAAATACTTATAGTTATTTTTGTTAGGTTCTGTTGAGTCAATTCTGACTCATAGTGATCCTGTGTACAACAAAATGAAACACTGTCTGGTCCTGAACCATCTGTACAATTGTTGCTGTGTTTGAGCTCATCATTTCAGCCACTGTGTCAGTCCATCTCATTGAGGGTTTTCCTGTTTTTCACTGACCCTCTCCTTTACCAAGCATCATTCTGTCTCCAGGGACTGGTTCTTCCTGATAACATGTCCAATGTACATGAGAAGAAGTCTTGCCATCCTCACTTCTAAGGAGCATTTTGGCTGTCCTTCTTCCAAGACAGATTTGTTCATTCTTCTGTCAGTCCATGGTATATTCAATATTCTTTGCAAACACCGTAATTCAGAGGCATCAATTCTTCTTCAGTCTTCCTTGTTCATCGTCCAGCTTTCACATGCCTATGAGGTGACTGAAAATACCATGGTTTGGGTCAGGCATACCTCAGTCCCCAAAGTGGCATCTTCGCTTTTTTAACACTTTAAGGAGGTCTTTTGAAGCAGTTTTGCCCAATGCAATATGTCATTGGTACTTACAGAGTACCTATTATTAATTCAAGATACCTGTGTCTGATTTTTCATATCTGTCCTGCTCTCCTTGTCCCCCTTCCCCAGCTCCTAACCTCTTTATCAAGCATTAAATCTCTTTTTCCTCTGGTAAGCCTTCACACACCCCCATTTTTCCTTTCTGGTACTTAGTACATGTGAACAATATATAACATTCCTCTTCAATTCATAAGCCCATGCAAAACAAACACAAAAAACAAATGGGTTGTAATGGTTTTTATCAATTCATTTACAACCTGAGAAGTCTAATCAGTCAGTGAAGTTTATTATTCTAGGTACATTAACTTTATCCATCAGTCACAATTGTGTTTTAAGAATATCATCATTGTTTTGACAACAAATCATCAACATTTACAAGCTCAAAAGTTACCTGGTGAGTTTGCAAAAGTAAAGAATTAAGATCATTCATTCTCTCTGACATGAATAATTTAAGAGTCAACCTTACCCTTTTTAAAGAGGTGGAAGGAGTGAAATGTGACAAAATGATTGAAGATGAAGTCCGAGGTATGCTCAGTGAATTAAAACCAAACATGATTTCAGCAGATGCAGGCAAAGCGTGCAGCATGCCCTTAGATTGTCAGCTTTAGAAATGATGAGAAGACTTGGGCAGTAATAGAAACGAAAAGTGTTTATAGTATGAACATTGCATATATTCAAATTAAATAATTTTGTGTTAAAGAATCCAGGCTCTAGGTTTGAGCCCCATGTGGCTCAGTAAATTTCACATTAAAAAACACCTGATTTATAGCCTTAGAAAACGCCTCGTACTCTGGCCGATTGTCAGCGTACCCATCACCATGGCTGGTAAAACATTTCCAAGGACAAATCAAGAGCAAAGCAGTCTGGCAGAAACGGCACAAATAAATAGGTTATGAAGGAGCAAAGTGGGTAAGTTTCAGAAACTCTTTTCTGTCGGGCTCCATATGATACTGTATACATTAGAAACACAGGTAAAGCCCAACATTAAATTTTCTAGAGATGAAGAAGTAAGTGTCAACAGCTGGCGCTAGTGATTTTTCTCTGCTTTGTCCTGGAAATATTTCACCACTTAAGAGAAGTTCACTACATACCTTGGGGAAACCATTTCTCTACCATATTGTACAAATCTGTGTAAACCTTCTAATTTTTTTATTTTCCCTTTTGGAGTTGAAGTCACACAAGTATCTGTGAAGGCTTTTCCAAATACTTTCTTAAGCCTCAAAAACCTCTGCTCAAAACTTACAGTGTGTCCAAATGGTTGCAGACTTCAGCCAAATGTGAGTATGCGTGCACGTATGGCGTGAAGCCAGTTTTGGAAATATGGGTGGCAGTGTCTTTAACTCAGACTCAGGATGCTTTCCATGGCGGTAGGAAACAGCAGAGGATCAACTTAAAATTCTTTAAAAGAAATAGAATTTTGAAAAGACCAAGGAAAATGAGAATATGGCTTCACCTTCTATTCTGCACTGACAGCATAAATACTTCCCTCGCTGTGTTGTTTATTGTTTCTTCCAGATGAGCTTTTCATACTCAGTCCATGGAGTATAGAGTCATTGCCCGTGCTCATTTTTTCCTTCCTGGAGGTATAAATAGACTGATGACGCCCTATGCTCTCTGCAGTCCATGCATCATTCATTCCGTACATCTCCTTTCTAGGTCACAAAGCTTTTAAAAAAATCAGCCGTGGTAGCAGCATGTGAGAAGATGAACATATGACCTCTTCCTATCACCTCGTAGCAGTGCCTTTGATAGCATCCAGACAGCAGTACATGGAAACCTGACATTTAGGCAGTTCAAGAATATCAGAGGGCAAAATAGCCATTCTTAATAAATAACTTAAAAATAGCATAGTCTGAGCATTTTTCCCTCCACCCTTTCTCCCCCACATGCCTGAAATGAAGCCATTCCCATCCAAAGCATAACTAGGAATTTGTGTTTTGTGAACGTTTCAAGAGCCTGCCTCTCCTACTTCAACAAATGTCTGCCTTCGCTGTTTGTCCAATTGCATAAGCTCAAATTATGAGAAAATGTCTTCCTGATTCCTCTTTTCCCTCCATTAAAATAAAAATGCTTTTGCTTCCAGACTTTTATTATTGAGTGTCTACTGCATGAGGAACCGTGTAATATGTGCTTTGAGATGATGCAAGTGAGGAACGTAAGTTCTCTGCTCTCTTCTGACTTATTCACTATGTTTGTAAACCATGATAGCGAATCCAACACTTCACAAGAAGTTAAACTGTCAGAGTTAATCTCTCATTTAGGTAAGGCTGGGAGCAAGACTGGTGAGTGGCAGGGGCAGTGCCCTTGTCGTTATTCGAGTTTTTGTCCTGGGTCCCAGGTATATCCTATTGTTCTCTTCTTGGTCTGTCGATACGTTTTAGATAGATAGCTACCATCGAGTTGAATCTGAGTCATGGCAATCTTACGTACAACAAAACAAAACATTTCCTGGTCCTGAGCCATCCTCACAATTGTCGGTATGTTCATGTTCATCACTGTGGCTATTGTAGCAATCTGTCTCACCAAGGGTCTTCCCTCACCCTCGCTGGCCCTCTACTTTACTAACCTGATGTCCTCCTCCAGTAACTGATCCCTCATGATGACGTGTCCAAAGCAAGCAAGGCAGACAAATATTATGCAGTGATATTGGTTTTCATTGGCTAATTTTCAGAAGTAAATCACCAGGTCTTTTTTCCTGGTCTGTCTTAGTCTGGAAGCTGTGCTGAAACCTGTCCACCATGGGTGTCCTTGCTGGTATTTGAAATACTAGTGGCATAGCTTCTAGCATCATAACAACACACAAGCTGACAGGTGGGTGGTAGTCAATACTTTTAAGGGACCATTAATTCTCTCTTTTAGTAAACATTGGTTGAGTGCCTACTATAGGCATTTAGGTTACCAGTTATGTGCATTTAGGTTACCAGTTAACAAATAGATAAATTCCCTATTCACTTTGAATTTCATTCTAATATATAATGTCAGATAGAATAAGTGCTGTGAAGAAAATTCAGGCAGGCCGAGTGTTATTTATGGTAGATATGGAGCATGTGTGCTATTTTGTATAGGTTGTTCTGGGAAGACTCAACTGATAAAGGGACAATTGCTTCTTTGCCTGAAAAAAGCAAGAGAGTGGGCTATGTGCACATCTGGGAGAAATGAATTCCAGGAAGAGAAAACTACCAGCTTAAATCCCACAGGTAAGGGCAGAGCAGAGGTATAGGGCCAACAGTATCATGACAAGAAGCTCTAAAGGCAGCATGGGAACACATCATGGAGACCCTTTTAGGGCGTGTGGAGGATGTTGGATTTTATTCTGACCACGATGTGACATCACTGAGGAGGGGCATGATCTGACTTACTCTCCAGAAGAGTAATGTGGAACATAGACTATATGGATACAGGAGGAAGCCTGAGATGCAAACCAGCCAGGTGGGAAGAAATGGTGACTTGGATGGGAGGTGCCAATGAAAGTAGTGAAAGATTTTGGAGATATTTTAAAGGTAGAGTCAACTGAATTTTCTAATGGACAGTTTCACTGCCCGTAAAATACCCTGTGCTTAATTTACCTTTTCATCCTTCTCCCTTTCCCCCTCAATTCCTGGCAACCACTGATCTTTCTACTGTCACTATAGTTTAGCTTTTTCCAGAATGTCATATAATTGGAATCATACAGATGTAACTTTTTCGAACTGGCTTCTTTCTCCTAGAAATACATATTTACGTTTCTTCCATGTCTTATCATAGCTTGGTAGTTCATTTATTTTTATCACTGATTAATACTCCATTGTGTGAGCGTACCACACTTGGAGAATCTTAGTTGCTTCCAACTTCAGACAATTATGAACAAAGCTTCTATAAACATTTGTGGGCAGATTTTTATGTGTGTACATAAGCTTTCAACTCATTTGAGTAAATTCCTAGAAGTGTGATTGCTGGATTTACGGTAAGTGTATGTTTAGCTTTGTAGGAAACAGTCCAACTGTCTTTCAAAGTGGCTGTGCCATTTTGCAATCCCACCAGCAGTGAATGAGAGTTCCACATTCTCAGTAGCATTTGGTGTTACCAGAGTTCTGGATTTTAGCCATTCTAATAGGTATATAGTAGTATCTCATTGTTATTTTAATTTACAATTCCCTAATGGCATATGAGCCTTGGTGGCGCAGTGGTTTAGAACCCAGCTGCTAATCAAAGGGCCCCGCTAACCAAAGGGCCAGCAGTTTAAAACCATCAGCTGTGCCTTGGAAACCCTATGGGGCAGTTCTACTCTGTCCTATAGGGTCTTTATGAGTCAGAATTGACTCGACAGCAACGGGTTAATGGCACATGATGATGAGCATCTTCTTACGGGCTTATTTGCTGTCTGTGTATCTTCTTTGGTGAGGTGTCTGTTTAGATCTTTTGCTCATTTTGTAATTGGGTTGTTTGTTTTCTTATTGTTGAGTTTTAAGAGGTTTTTGTATAATTTGGATACAAGTCATTTATCAGAGATTTGTTTTGCAAATATTTTCTCTAAGTCTGTGGTTTCTTTTCATTCTCCTAACTTTCCATTTTTTTTTAATGCTAGATAATCATTAATTTAATAGGTGCTTTAGAAAATAAAATTTTATTAGGTAAAATATAGCTAAAGAGTCCAATACCACATTTTGCTTTCTCTAACTAAAGGGTTTTAGTTCTTTCATACATTATCAATTATTATGCTTTATTTTGTTGGGTATACTTGAAGATTTATGTTTGTATGCTTATTAATTCAACAGCTATTTATTGAGTGCCTTCCAGAGTTGCCTAGTTACTAAGTTGTCAAACACTGTGAGGTTTATGCTACATAATGGGAAAAGGGCAGAGAAGGAGACATAATTCCTGATAGTCAGGGACATGAAGCAATCACTCTTCCTGACTTTTGGTAATTCTAATTTTAAAGGGGTTGTAGATGAGACAGTGCCATATTCCTAATACTCAATCCAATAAAAATAAATTTGCCCATATTTCTTTTTTTTTAAGAAAGCAGCATTTTATTACAACTAAAACTGCTTAGGGCTTTTGACAGGGCAGTTACAATTAAACTGCTTAGGGCTTAGCCTTTTTTTTTTTCTGATGCTCCATAAATGTTTTATTTTTAAAATAATTTATTTTTGTTCATGAGACTATACACAGCAGAATGTTAACCAATTTAACAATTTCTACATGTACAATTCAGTGACATTGATTACATTATTCAGGTTGTGCAACTGTTCTTATCCTCCTTTTATGAATTATTCCTCCCCTGTTAACATAAACTTACTCCTCCCCAAGTTTCCTTTAAAGTTGCCTTGTCAATTTGATTCCATATAAATAGATCTTAAAACAGCACAATGCTCAAGGCAGACATTCTTTACTAGTTAAGCTAAACTAGTGTTTGGTTTAAAGAAGACTTCAGGGGATATTTTTGGTTTAAGTTCTAAGCTTTAAAGATTATCTCCAGGCAGTCGTTTTGGGGGTTTATCCAGCATCGATGGCTCAGAAGCATCAAAAGTTCAATAAATTTTTGTTGTTGTTATTTATGTCTTTTTATTTTCGTTTAAATTACAAAACAAAGATAGCTTGTGCATAATTTCTGCTAGTAGATTATGAGCTTAATGTTTTTCATCTCTTTTGTTAAGTTTTATTTATTTTATTGTTGTTGATGAGAATATACACAACAAAACATACCCCAATTCAACAGTTTCTTTATGTACCATTTAGTGACATTGATTACAATTTGCCCATGTTTCTACAGAGCCAGTGCCACACCAATATATTTTAAGAGTTGTGTTTGAAATGTGAAAACACCTTCATTTTGAAACTGTCTTTTATTTGAAGATAGTGAAAGACAGATTCATAGAATATTACAAAAGGTGCATGTGAAAAATTGGAAACCCTGAATGGTGAACAGTTCTTTACATAGTATTTTTATGTTTGAGACAGTGCTATCCTAATGGAGAATTGGATAAAAGTGTTAGCAGCAGTCCAAGTTATCTTCAACAAACAGCCATCTTAAATTCCTCTGTACTGTGGTGCATTAAAGATCCTTCACAGGTATTTGGTTACTTGTTGATGAATGTATTAAATGTATTTTTGTTACATGGTCCCCACAGCCCTCAGCCCATAGTCTCGGGGAACATCTAGCTCAATTGTCATAACAGTTTATAAAGAAAATGTTCTACATTCTACTTTGGTGAGTAGCATCCGGGGTCTTAAAAGCTTATGAGCGACCATCTAAGATACTCCATAGATCTCACCCCGTCAGGAGCAAGGGAAAATGAAGAAAACCAAACACACAAGGGAAAGACTAGTCCAAAGGACTAAAGGACCACAACTACCACAGCCTCCACCAGACGGGTCCATCACAACTAGATGGTGCCCGGCTACCACCACTGACAGGGATCACAATAGAGGGTCCCGGACAGAGCTGGAGAAAAATTTAGAACAAAATTCTAACTCACAAAAAAGACCAGAATTACTGGCCTGAAAGAGACTAGAGAAACCCTGAGAGTATGGCCCCTGGACACCGTTTTAACTCAGGAGTGAAGTCACTTCTGAGGTTCACCCTTCAGCCAAAGATTAGACAGGCCCATAAAACAAAACAAGACTAAACAGGCACACTAGCCCAGGCGTGAGGACTAGAAGGCAGGGGGGGACAGGAAAGCTGGTGATTGGGAACCCAAGGTTGAGAAGGGAGAGTATTGACATGTCGTGGAGTTGGTAACCAATGTCACAAAACAATATATGTACTAATTGTTTAATGAGAAGCTAGTTTGTTCTGTAAACCTTCATCTAAAGTACAATAATAAAAAAATAAATAAAATAGGCAAAATACCTGAACAGAGGAAAAAAATGTATTTTTGTTACAAATCATGATAATATCATGGCAACGCTTGTCAGAATTTTAAGCCGATCAGGTGATGCTAAAGGGTGAGAAGTGTAGGATTAACAACAAGCGGGTGCTAAACAAAGATGGCGAGTTTACTCGGGTGTATGAGAACTCTGCCTTATGACTCTGGCCAAGAGCAGCTTCAAGGCAGTAAGCACTTTTTAACTAAAGTAAAGACGGAGAGTCAAGGGTGATCAAGTGCAAAGCACAGTTACTTGCTGAAAGGTATTTAGTTTTACAAAGCTTGCTGTTTAAATCTAGTATTTACCTTTTATTTTTTTT